TCCCTTTTTTAGCAGATATCAATAAAACAGAGTCTAGATATTGTCTTAAACATCTAAACTGCTTAATGCAGTGTGTTTCCTGGGTCAGTTGGCTGGGTGATATTTTTGTAATGTAGGTTCTTTGCCACTGAGGAAATCAAGCTACACTGGTTGTCAGTTTTTATTTTTTATTTATTTATTTTTTTTTTACAAAGGAGCTCAAAAATCAGAAAACCTTTATGTCTGAGGGGACCAGCTGAACCATGATGTTAAAATATTTGGGTTTAGCAATGCAAGAAGGATTATTGTTTTAAAGGGAACGGATTCATTTGCTGTGGAAAAAAACTAACAGAAACAAAAGGATTGTACAAATATGAAAAAAAAAAAGCTACAATAAAGGCATGAAAAAAACAAAAAATTTGAATATATTTTTAATAGAACAAAACCTTTACATTAAAATCTTTTGAAGAGATTTTTTATTTGTGTTGTAAATCAGCAAAATTTAAAGTGCCCTGCAACCAGAGGGTTCTCGGTTCAAGCTCTGGCTTTCAGTGTCGTTGTGCAAGACACTTCTCCCAAGTTGCCTACTGATGGTGGTCGGAGGGACTGCTGGTGCCAGTGAACGGCAGCCTCACTTCTGTCAGTGAGCCCCAGTGGAGCAGTGGCTACAATGTACGTAGCCTGACACCATCAGTGTGTAAGTGTGTGTTAATGGACGAATGACTGAATGCAGTGTAATGCGCTTTGGTGAAGTCCTCTGAGTACACACCATTTATCATAACTCTCCTGTATAAGAAAATATCCGCTTGTCACCTTTAGTTGGTCTCAAATCATGTAAAAAAAATCAGTTCACAAACTTTGCTTGCATTATATTTTCACACCAAAAGAAAAAACAAAGCCATGTGACACTAATTCCAGAGGTGAGACAAGACTAGGGGTGTAAATCCCACCCATCATGGCAAGGTATCAATTTCCTGAGCCATTGATTCAATTATTTTCGATATTCAAGAATACACCGAGATACGATTCAATTAGATTAATTGTTAATTTTTTTTTTACCTTACAGGCTAGAGAATGGGTCAAATTAGAAAAAAAAAATCAATGAAAGCTGTAATATTGTTATGCATTTTATTTGAGAAACAACAGCAAATAACAGAAGTAGAAAAGTTGTACTCCACCTAAGCCCATGAAAACGTGTGTGAGAGATGGTGAAAGAAAGAGATGGTGGTGGCAAAGTAGGAGGGCAAAATAGGTTTAGTGCCACCGCAGTCAGAATTACGTCCAGGAGCAAATAGATAAAAAAAAAAAAAAAAGAAAAAAAAAAACATGAATCAATACTCTCGCGGATGTGTCTATGCATTGCATCGTCGGCTTTTGGATCGATGCATCAATACAAAACCATTACTATTTACACTCCCAGACAGGACATGAGAACTTCAGTGACGTGGCGTCCTTGTTCCAAACACAACACAGAACTGGAACCAAGCCTGCTTCCTGCATAGGGTTTTAGATGCATCTTTTTTGATCCCAGTTTTTGTGCTTGTTTATATCTTTAAAGAGTCGCTGACTATCACAACAACTGAGCTCGCTGGTATGTCTCTTTTAAACACGTCTTGTAACAGACTGCACCTTTCTAGCAGCTGTGATCCCTCTTGTGCTGTGACTATAAGGCCTTCAGACATCTTGAACTGTTATGCAAACAGAAACAGGAATAACTTTGCCAAATTGTTTAGATGTTGGTGCATATTTGCTAACAGTTGTAAATTGTAGCAGTTTGTACTTTTTTTTAGCTTTAGATTATTTATATTTTATTTGAGGTATAAACAGAAAGAAACAAGTAATTGTGAAGAGGAAGGAAAGTTATATGATTTGTTTTAAATTGTTTTTGAGTAAATCACATCCTGAAAAAAAGAAAAAAACATTATTCTGAAAATCCATGTGTAATAAGTTACCTTCAGAAGTCAGGCAGTCTTAGTCATGTGGTCTACAGCAGTATATTCTGAGGGGAAGCTTTTCATCAAGAGACAAAAGCAGCAGGCCACAAAAAATAAGTTGTAGTTCAGTCCTAAAGGCGAGTATGAGACTTGAGATATGAACTAAGGCTGACCTTACTTAAAAACAAACCCAAATATAGAGCCAGAGCTACAATGAAATAGTTTAGATCAAAGCACGTTAATTTTTTAAATGTGGAAAAGGTTAATGGTCTATGAATACTTTTGTAGCAGGATTAAAAGATAAAAGCTGGACTATTTCAAACATGAAATCATTATGATTAATGCATTAACTAAGGGTTACTTGAGTTGATGATCACTCTGTTTATTGCTCCCATTTTTAACCCTTTATGGGGCAGTCAGGGAAATACTTTAAAAATAATAATTTCAAGCTAATAGTGTTATTGGAATCCAGGACAAGACCTTTGTAACATTAAAAAAAATATGGATATTTTGATGGCAAAAATGTATGTCAAGAATTGCCAACTTGCGCAAATATATTAAGAAAAATAACAAAAATAGGTGCTTTTAAATGAAATTCACAAAAAACACTCTGCGAGTGAAAGAAACAAATTTTTTGGTACAACAGAACCTTAGAGGCATTATTGCTGATACTGGTACTTACATTTTGTAGTTTTTAGAACCCAAATATAATTGTTAAATAGGGTTATTAACCTTTTAACTTTTCAATTCGCTTTTTACCCTTTTTTTCTTGACTTACCTTTTCTTCAACTTCATTTACAGTAGGTAATATATCATTCAAGGGCTCATCTAATTGGTCACATGCCAAAATAAAATGTACAGCAATGTAGCATTATCTTTGCTGAATGGCTGGATATAGATCTGCTGCTTCTAGATCTCACTGAGGGACAGAGGGGACTCCATTTCAAGAGGCATAGGCAGAAAAGTTTTATAAGGGTGGCCAGGCAATAACCAATGTACACTAAGGGTTGGCCGGAAGTAGATAGGAACCAGAACCTCACGGTCAATCTACACTGAAAATTAATGAGCAAAACATCCATATTTTCTAAATAAAGACAAACTATACTTTCCCACAGCCTTAGCTAACAAATAGATGAATATATTCAAACATCCATGCTTTCTAAATAAAAGGTATAGTGGATGAAATTCTTTCAGGTTTGAGTTTTGGGCAAACATCTTTTCCATTGTCATTACTTACCTACTTTTATCAATAATCATTACGCATATTTATGAGTACTAATATCAGCATAAATTGATTATTTAATAAGTTTTTATTTAAATAGTTATTTATGATTTCACAGAAGACTCCTAGATGACTTGCAGAGACGCATCATTTTCTCTTTACCCTATAAAAAACAAAATCTATTTCTGCTCGAATTCTGAACTCATTATAATGTTAGAATATTGGGGTGCATAATAACCAAAGTGTTTTTCCTTGTAAATGTTAATATAAGAAAATTTAAAATGTTTTGAATATTCCAATTGAGATTATTACTGTTGCCACATCTGAATCAGAAGAAAATAAATGGTAGGGGTGGCCAATGATTGGCTAAGGGTGGCCATGGCCACCCCTAGCCCCCCATCTAGCTCCGCCCCTGCCCATTTCTGAGGAATATGTAATTGATCAAAAACGTTCACTTGCCCAATAAAGGGTTAAAGCTACCTATAAGGTAAAATATCTACAGTGAGAGCAATGTTAAACGAAGCTGAAAAGAAAGAAGTTTACATTCTGTGTAATATGCGTTATTTTTTGGTATTTTTCTTCATACACAAGATGGGTTCTTTTATGTTACAGCACTTAAGACCTCGCTCCCACGCCTTTCTTTTTTAGTGCAATGGTGGAACACTTGGTTGGGGGAAAAGAAAAGGAGTAGTGGGTTACAGTCCTGGAATGTGGGGAAATTTAACGAAGGATGGTCGTTTGGTGCATGGCGCGTGTTTTGAAGCTGCTTATGGAGAAATGTCTTGGGCCGTGAGTAGTGAGGAAACAGGAAGCGATTCTTGTGGGATGGAAGAGGGAAATAGTGACAATGAAGGTTGGAAGATAGCAACATCAAAAAATGAGAAAAAGCGGAAAAAACAAAGATCAGTTCAAGGGGAATCTAGTTCAGAACAATCCAGTGATGATCATTCCATACATTCCACAGCACAACAAAATGAATTCAAAGTCATATTCAAAGTCGTTAATCAGGCAGACTCTTTTACAAATTGGAATCCGGTTCACTTAACAAAAACCATCAATAAACTTGTCGGAGAAGTCAAAGGTGCCAGAATTCTGTACAGTGGAGACCTGCTAATTAACTGCAGAGACAGCGCCCAGCAAGGCAAAGCAATACGTATCAACAAAATTGACGGGATAAGAGTTCAGTGCAGCTTAATGGAGAACAAAAAGATCAGCAGGGGAGTCATTGGAGGAGTTCCTCTAAAAATTTCTGAAAAAGAGATTCTGGAAAACATAAGCGGTGCAAAAGTAAAAGAAGTAAAACGGTTAAAAACAACAAGAAACGGAGAAAGATCTGACAGTTTATCTGTGCTAATTAAATTCGAAGTAGAGCAATTACCAAGCAAAGTATTCATCGGTTACATAAGCTATAATGTCAAAATCTACAATCCTCCACCATTGAGATGTTTCAAATGCCAAAAATTCGGTCACATTGCAGCAGTTTGTAAAGGGAAACAGAGGTGTGGAAGGTGTGCAGGAGAACATGAGTACGGAAAATGTGGAAAAGAAGCTAAAATAAAATGCTGTAATTGTGGTGGAGAACATACTGCTGCCTATCGCGGCTGTGAAGTACGGAGCCCCCTAGGGGACATGGGGATTTTTTTTTCTTTTGCGTTCCCTCGCAATACTTTTGCGTTACCTCGCAATACTTTTGCGTTACCTCGCAATACTTTTGCGTTCCCTCGCAAAAACTTTTGCGTTCCCTCGCAAAACCTTTTGCGTTACCTCGCAATAGGGCTTGGTCGTCGTGACCATGTTGACGGCGCACTTTACGGCTTCCTTAGACTATTGCCTGTGTTCTCCCTCTCAGCCGTGTTTTATTTCGTTTAATTTCACCGTAACTTGATTTCAACCATGGTAAACCGTTGCTGTATTGTGGGCTGTAACAGCGCATCACATGATCGCCGAGGGAAAAACCTACAAAATGGGATAACTTTCCACCGCTGTCCTGCCTTGAGGCGCAAACACGGAGACCAAGTTTCACAGATAACAAAGAGTCGTCGGCTAGCTTGGATCGCGGCTGTAAGACGAGAGAACAGAACTTTCCACAGTATCCTGATGTCAATGCGAGTGTGTTCCCTGCATTTTCATTCTGGTAAGTTAAAGATGCACGGTTTTATTTTATAGCCTACAGTGTTTCCTTCCTTCATCCGTGGCACCACATACAAGCATGAACGCGCGCCCAGAGACTGTTGATATAGCATTTTCATCCTCGTTGGTTGATATAGCATTTTATCCTCTTTGGTAGAACACACTGCCAGTTCCTACAAGGACAGGGACATCCCTCTCCATTTTCAAAAAAAACCCTGAGGTTGACAGCTGTCATAGCACCACTTATAAATTTTGCTGATCCTAGCGCTTACCAGCCGTCTTGTAATGTAATGTAATCATATAATACAATTTAATAATGTGTATATTGAGGATCATTGATAACATTATGGTTCTATATGTGTTCAACACTGCTGCTGTGGATAATAATTTTAAATTGTGTCACCAGGAAAACCAGCAAATGAAATGTACACCTCGCATCCGGATTGGGCACCATCACTACACTTGGGCCACACTGAGATAAAGGCCACACAGACTGCACGCTATGAGAGACAGGAAAAGAGAAAACGGCAAAGGACTGACAGTACACCTGCGAGGATGAGACAGCTATTGATGACCTTGTTCCACCCGGTAAGCCTTACAGAGCCAGAAGATTCAACACCGTATGTTGCTTTTGTGGCTTTTTCAGCTGCATGATGCACATTTAGCTAAAAGATGTCCTTATTTTATCCATAGTGGAGACACCAGCACCAGCTGAGGATGGAGCTGAGCAGACACCGCCGGCGTGCTGAAATCAACCGGCTGCTGGAGGAGAACAGGACCCTGAAACGTGAGCTTGGCCAGAGAAAAATGGATGAAGATTTCCTGAAGGAAGACACAGTCAAAGTGAAATACTACACTGGACTTCCACACCTTAAAGTCAACCACTTTATTCTGGTGTTTATGAATTACTGTATTAAAGAAAAGATTGATGCTCAATATGGAATTGACAATTTCTTTGTATCAACAATACACTCTAAGCAAACATTTAACAAGTGGGTTGTTTTTTAGCCATAGGTGTGTTTTGCATCCATACCCAAAAGCAAGAGGTCTCAAACGATCAGATCCTTTTCAGTGTTTATTTGCAAGTAGTGAAACTTGAGAACACAGTGCAGCGCAGAACAGAGCAGTGCAGTTTGAATGCTTGTAGGTAAATGGTTACAAATAAAAAATGGACGTGATGAAAATGCAGTGCAATTACTTACAATAACATAGTATGTATTTATACAAAATGTTCAATCCTATTAATAAGTCGGTCTTAATGAAACATCAATGGAGAAATGGAAAGTGGAGATATTGCAAATTATTATTATACAAATTGTAGTTATAGTAAACATTAACAGTTAAACACTGTTAGTGCAAATTCTTATATAAGTATTTATAATAATATGCATTACTTAAATTGTATAAATAAAGGCTGCGATGCAATATGTCATGATATACAATAATATAATCTATAATTGTATAATATAACAACGTGCAATAATATGCAAATATAACAATACAATGTAATAATACAAAATACTATGCTTTTTATAAAAAATGTCTATGTATAAAAAAAATTCCAAAGTAATAAAAAATACGTATTTATGAAACATCAATTACAAACATAAAAATTGGAGGTAGATCAAATTAAGTAATAACAGATATCAATAACATTTGAAGTAGTGCAAATTATTACCGGTACTATAGTACACATTAAAAAACAATGTTAGTGCAATGTCTTATATAATTACTTTTAACAATATGCATTTCTTAAATTGTATAAATAAAGGCTGCGATGCAATATGTCATGATATACAATAATATAATCTATAATTGTATTGTAATATAACGACGTGCAATAATATGCAGCTGCAATGTCTTTCACTGTCTCACAGTGCTGGAGAAGGACAGCTGGTGGAGCATTTTCAAACTTTGGGTCGCGCAGACGGTCTTGCAGGGGTTTTGGGATCACAGCTGGCTGGACAGGAGCAGCATAGTTGTGAAAGTAGGGCTTCACTGTGGACATACAAACTGACCTATGGTTCTGAAGAACAGGGAACATTGACGATAAGTCGTCCAATGTGGCTTGGGCAGTGCGTCTGCTGGCCCGTGTCCGTAGGCCAGGCATGGGAATGTTGTCATCGATGACTCTGTCCAGAGCAATCCTCTGCACTTTGGATGAAGTGAAGTCCATCTTGTGGGCGACTTCACCGCTGACTTTGTTGATACCTGCTGGTATTTTCCAATAAGCTGGCACATCTGTCAGTCTTTTTCCCACGGATGCGGACTGCTGCCTCAATCTTAAACAGCAGAGCCCCAACATGTGTACATGCCTCTGCAATTCCAGCCATGCATGTACAGTGTGCACAGCAAACCTGCCCATCGTCAGCAATGATGACCCATGGCTTCAGGGGAGTCTCATTAATGCGCTGAGAGTGCAAGACCTGAGGAGAAAAAAAATAGACATAAATTATGCAGGTAAGGACACCATTATATTTCATTCTATGCTGGAAAGCAAACGTTAACCTCAACCCCTCATGCATGTGTATACATATCATATAAATCACAGTTATACAACAGTAAAGTATAACAACCACGCTGTTATATTGTTATATCACTTAAAAGAAAAAGAAATGAAATGAGCACAGGACATTTAAACCTGCATAATACCTCTGACTGAATGATTTAAGCTCAAAGTTACCCGTTACAGTGTTTTATGAGGTCAGATTTAATAACCCGCAGTCAATACTGCACTCATTTTTCTAAATAGTTCACTTTGAAAGACTCTGATTCAAACTAGGAGTTAACTTGAATGGCCACAGCACTGCACTATTGTTTATTTTTTTATATTTTGCGGATCTTTGACTATTTAATCTATTCCTTAAAATTTTATTAATAACAATGTTCAATAAATGATTTTCAACAAAATACAGATGTAACACCTATCCAGTTTCTGAATGATGGTAAAAAAATCTTGTTTCTACCAGCAGCTGGGGGAGACTAGATTAGAAGATGGTTCAGAAAACCTGTTAGGACACATTTTTTTTCTAACACTAAGTATCAAACAAATGCTGATTTCTATTTCAGCAAATTATTCTTAAATTTTTTTTTAATATTTTGAATAATGTTTTGATGAAGATTTGAGATTCCTTTCACTGAATGAATGGTCACAAAGCTAGTGTTAAGCTTGAAGTCTCTGGCCAAGCTCACGTTTCAGGGTCCTGTTCTCCTCCAGCAGCCGGTTGATTTCAGCACGCCGGCGCTGACAGAAGTCACATTCTGTCAGCGGTGTCTGCTCAGCTCCATCCTCAGCTGGTGCTGGTGTCTCCACTATGGATAAAATAAGGACATCTTTTAGCTAAATGTGCATCATGCAGCTGAAAAAGCCACAAAAGCAACATACGGTGTTGAATCTGCTGGCTCTGTAAGGCTTACCGGGTGGAACAAGGTCATCAATAGCTGTCTCATCCTCGCAGGTGTACTGTCAGTCCTTTGCCGTTTTCTCTTTTCCTGTCTCTCATAGCGTGCAGTCTGTGTGGCCTTTATCTCAGTGTGGCCCAAGTGTAGTGATGGTGCCCAATCCGGATGCGAGGTGTACATTTCATTTGCTGGTTTTCCTGGTGACACAATTTAAAATTATTATCCACAGCAGCAGTGTTGAACACATATAGAACCATAATGTTATCAATGATCCTCAATATACACATTATTAAATTGTATTATATGATTACATTACATTACAAGACGGCTGGTAAGCGCTAGGATCAGCAAAATTTATAAGTGGTGCTATGACAGCTGTCAACCTCAGGGTTTTTTTTGAAAATGGAGAGGGATGTCCCTGTCCTTGTAGGAACTGGCAGTGTGTTCTACCAAAGAGGATAAAATGCTATATCAACCAACGAGGATGAAAATGCTATATCAACAGTCTCTGGGCGCGCGTTCATGCTTGTATGTGGTGCCACGGATGAAGGAAGGAAACACTGTAGGCTATAAAATAAAACCGTGCATCTTTAACTTACCAGAATGAAAATGCAGGGAACACACTCGCATTGACATCAGGATACTGTGGAAAGTTCTGTTCTGTCGTCTTACAGCCGCGATCCAAGCTAGCCGACGACTCTTTGTTATCTGTGAAACTTGGTCTCCGTGTTTGCGCCTCCAGGCAGAACAGCGGTGGAAAGTTATCCCATTTTGTAGGTTTTTCCCTCGGCGATCATGTGATGCGCTGTTACAGCCCACAATACAGCAACGGTTTACCATGGTTGAAATCAAGTTACGGTGAAATTAAACGAAATAAAACACGGCTGAGAGGGAGAACACAGGCAATAGTCTAAGGAAGCCGTAAAGTGCGCCGTCAACATGGTCACGACGACCAAGCCCTATTGCGAGGTAACGCAAAAGGTTTTGCGAGGGAACGCAAAAGTTTTTGCGAGGGAACGCAAAAGTATTGCGAGGGTAACGCAAAAGTATTGCGAGGGAACGCAAAAGTATTGCGAGGGAACGCAAAAGTATTGCGAGGGAACGCAAAAGAAAAAAAATTCCCCATGTCCCCTAGGGGGCTCCGTAGGTTTAAGTTACACAGGTTTTTTTTTTTTTTTTTTTGTTTTTTTTTTGGGGGGGGGGGTGAATCGTTTCCTGTTTTCTTGCTTTACTCCATATCAGTTGGTGGCGGTAATGCACAATTCACAAGTCTGCCAACCGCCATAAAATCCCATAAGAAGAAGAAGAAGAAGAAGTCCTGGAATGTGGAGGCGCTCCCGATCCCTGCGTTCCCGACTCTGTGGCGCGCGGGTCTCGGGCGCGCGCGCAGCTCACACACACATAGGTTTCTGTGGAAGTGCAGAGAGGAGGCAGGGAAGCGTCGCTGGAGCGGGGAATGATGGCGGAGAGCGAGAAGGAACAAGTTTGATACCGGAGCCAAGCTGGAATCTCGGGCGAGCTTTTCGGCGTCTCGCTCGGTAAAGCAACTAGGTGAGTTTCAGAAAAACTACTTATTTACGTTTTATTTCCACAGCAGACTGAGTTTGACCGCTGCGAACTACTTAATCGAAGCGTTCTTGAAACGCAACAATGAATCGTTGGAGGCTGAAGTACTAACATTGGGGCTCTATTGAAGTGTCGACAGACTGAGGTGAACTTTGTGTCGCTCTTTATCTGACGGTGGAGTTGCCAGCGGTACCAACACAGGTTCATCTATAAATTTAAGGCCCACGGGCGGTTCTTTCTTTTAGTTAGCCTCGACCATAAGTAGTTGAGGTGAAGTTTAGCTTAAGCTAGGAGTTAACTATTCAAATGAACTCAACGGCTGTGCTGTTGAGCTAACCTTCAAATCAGTGTTACGTTGCACCTGAGCTGCTTCTATTTTTATTCTAAACCTAGTTTTATGAAATCAATGCTTGGGTTCCAGTTTCAGAGGATTGCAGTAAGGTAGCAAATTCAACCTCTTTTAAAGCTTGTGGGGGGTTAAAGAAAAATACGATATAAAGTACAACTACTTTACGCAACTTTAATACAAAAACGGGTAAAATTGCTTTGAAAAATAATTTACAGCCTTAAAAATTAGGAATTTGGTTTTAGCATTTTCAAAGTCTAGATAAGTATGGGGAAACTGAATATAGATTGAACGTACCTGACGTCCCTCCCTCTTTGCAGAGGACAAGTTTAACACTATCTGCTGGCAGTTGGATATATTTAGTTTAATTTGTGCCAAGATGAAACCAATTAATTAATCAGCCAAGCACGTTGGTTTTCTTCCCTTAAATGACTATTGTGAAGTACCCGGATGAGATATTTTATTTATGGCAAAAGTTGATTAAACATTAATGGGATTACAAAAAAAGGAAATGTTTCTCTTTTTAAGCTTTTTAACTGGGTTTGGTATAGATTTTAATCAAATTATCAGAAAATATAATTTTGTGAGGTGATCTTAAGTATCTCTCTCTATATATATATGTTACCTGGAATAATTCAGACTAGATTTTTTGATATGTTAGAGATCTGAATTAATTCAATTTTCTCAAGTCTTTAGCCAAATAGATGTACAATGGAGTGACATTTGTTCACCACACATCCAAACTATAAGGCCGATTAACATTTGTTCAATATCATTTTTACAAAGAAACTGGAAGTTGACTGAGTTTTTATCTTTAAATACTTTTAAATTGAAAGTGAAAGAATTTGAAGCAGCCTCAATGATCTGTAATTGTTTTACTTGATATGTTTTTTTTATATACCTGTCATTTGATTTAATGTATCTCTGTTTCTTATGTAACTTTGCTGCCTCTTGGCCAGGACTCCCTTGAAAAAGAGGTTTTTAATCTCAATGTGATTTTTCCCCCCTGGTTAAATAAAAAAAAAAGACTTGTCGAAAAAAAACAAACTCTTTTCATAAAAATTTGGAAATAAAATATGGCACTTAAAATCTGAAAATGTCTGATTCTGTAGTACTCATAATGCATATATGTGAAAAACAAAAATTAAAAGCATACAAAAACATTCTCAGTTAAAAGCCAATCTAAAGTAATATATTTTTGAGATATTTTGTTTTACATATATCTACAAAAGAGGACATTTATAAGTGTTATTATAGGAACACTGATCACAACATTTGAAAACAAGTTATCCTTTTTGCTTTTCCTTTAATTTCTTGCCTCTGTCCAAAAAAGAAAATTATATAGTGAAAAGATGCTAACAACTTTAAGCTGGATTTTTTACCTTTTTTTTATTGATGGTAAATTCAGTTGTATAAACAATCCCGCCCCCTTTTATAATCGACCAATCACATTCACTTTATTCACTCGTGTAAAGTCGGGCACTACTCGGGAGAATTCGAAACTGCAGCCGTTGGAACAGCCACTTCCATATGACTTTAATAGCCACAGCATATGACATTATTTGATTTTCTTTTTATGTTGTCATGTAGATGTGTCGGTAGTATTGCATCCTTAAACCAACACTAAATAGCTTTCCAACCTTCAGATTATTTTCATAACTTTTTTGATTATATGTTGACTTAAAACTAGTTGAATGACACCTATGTCATGGCCTAAGGGGGTCTGTATCTGTTTTCTCCATTCCTTATAAAGACGGAAGTTGATGATACTAAATTTCCCTAAGGGACTATATATTTGTGCAAGTCTGTAGGTTTGATATTCAGGGAATGCAGTGGTTAGTGGAGTAAGTTGGTACAAAGCCAAACCAAAGTTTATTTTCAACATCGCCATATGATATTATATATTATGATATATGATATTGTTTCACCACAGTTGGATTCATTGCCTCATCGGTGTTCATATTTTACACAGCCACTGGACACTAGGGTTGTCAAAAGTATCGATACTCAAAAAAGTATCGATACTAAAATGTTGTATCCGGATACAATACTCATTTTCAAAAGTATCGAGTACCAGTCGCACCTAAACAATCATTCATCTAAAGTGCAGAATAGAGGAAAATGCACTTTCTGAACACTGTGTGATTGAATAATTCTGTGCACTTTTCAGTTTTAGACTTTTTTTTGTAACAGTTGCAGCTGCTGAGAATTATTTTTGTTTCTTAACCAGTTTGGCTAGTGTCATTATGTGTGCAAAGCATAGCCAAGTAAGTAAAAACTTAATTTTAATTTTGTAAATTTTTTATCAAGCTTGCTAAATACTGTGCACAGCAAACAACCTCAAAATGTTGTTCTTATTGTTTATTGTATTTATTTATTTATTGTATTTTAATTATTAATCAAAATATTTCTGTTGAAATTTTATATTATTTGTTTTTCAGATGACTTCACTTGAGTCGAGAAAACAGTGCTCCAGAAAATCTCTGCTGGACCCATGGCAATGGTTGCCTGAACTTGTACTGTAGTTCTCCATAAGAACATTTGCAAGAGGTCCTTTGTTTTAAAACCAAGCTGCAGGAATAAACAACCAAAATGATCAAAACGGAAAGCAAAGGAGGGGAGAGGAGCCTAAGAAGTGCGTCACCTCATAGAAATGCATACAAGTCTGACTTCCATGCCATTAAATGCACCTTCGATGGGCCAAAGCCTGAGGATACATCCAGATCGTTTGCAAATGGATCCAATGAAACCAAGGAAGAGTCGCGGGGCAGGCCTTTTGGAACCAGAGTGAATAAGATCAAGAACATATTCCTACAAATGGATGGACAGCAACAGGAGTCTCAAGAAGGGAAACCAGCTTTAAAGTCTGAAGTTCCACATAGTTCACCAACAAAGCTGCAGTTCCCAGTCAACACTCACAGAGTTCATTTGAACAGTTCTTCAAACCCTGAATTCCAAAATTTAGATAAAACACCCAAAGGGGAAGATGTTGAGATTGACAAAGTGGCTTTGGCTGAGAAGTTTTCTGTGACCAGAAAACTCTTTGAAAGAGGGATCAAAGAGCAGCCGATAGCAGAAAAACAGTCCACAACGAGAGTGGTTCATCGGTTCTCCCTTGGAAGTACCTCAGATGAAGACAAAAGCCCAAGGAGACTGTCAGAAAGCAAAGAGAGTGCTGGCAAACTGCAGCAAACTCATACATCTCCTGCTAAAAGTTGCTCTGATGAGTTAGCTGATGGCGAAAGAAGGCATGTGTCTAGAGTGTCACTCAATGCAGGACCTTTGTCAAAGAGGTTAGAAAATTATATAGTAGAGAATGACTCAGACGACAACAACACATTGGTAGGGAAAGGAGGCGTGGCATCGGCTAAACAACACACTACCGCTCAACACACGCAGCCTACATTTGTGTCCACAGCTGGTTTACACAAACCTACTTCTCCTGTTAAGGAAGCTACTGACTCTTCTTCAGTCAATATGCTCATCAAAAATAAAGACAACAAATCTGGATCATGGGGATCAAATTTAGGTAATAAATCAACAATGCCAGCTAGTGTTACTGGTTCCTCAATGGCAAATACAACTCCAAAACTTTGCTCATCAGAGCAACTGACCTCAGTTACCCATGACAACAAGTTTCCCTCCTCGTCTGTTGATAAATTTAATAGGACATCTGTTGGTGATAAAGGTAAACCGTCTAGTTCCCCCCCAAGGGATGAGGAACAGCCTTTGCTGTCAGCTGGTGGATTGCTAAATAAACAGGCAGAAAAACCCAAGAGTAATGATGACCCAGCTCTTGGCCAAACAGGGCCTGACTCCAGAGGGGGGAGCACAGTCCGGGCCGAACTGGTGGTGGTACAGAACGAATCCTCTGACAGCGAAGAGGACGATATCGCTGAAGATAATGTAATTGAGAAAAAGGAATGCGTCAAAGAGCTACAGAGAGGCTTTCAAACAGGACAAAGCCTCAACCCTGCTCATCAGAACCTTTCACAAGAGGATACAGATGATGAAAGGGAGGGAGATGCCTTAGATGGTGGTTTGGAGAAGGAGCATGAGGGCTTAGTTGTGAGTCAGGATTGTAACAATACCTACGAAGATGATGAAGCAGCAGCGGAGGAGGATGATACACCAGAGAAGCAAGTGGAGGAGAACAGTCTTGATAGAGTCTCTCCTGTGGTGTATGGTATAGAGAATGCAGCATTTGTGGATGACAGAGATATAGACCAGGTCATCAGGGAAGAGGAGGAGGAGGAAGATGAGGAGGAGGAGCAAACCGATGGGGATTATGACGACATTTATGAAGTCCCTGGTCTATCAGAGGAGGATGAAGCTCCTCCAAAAAGGAAAATCAAGTTCTCCACTGATCCCATTTTGGTAAGTGTTACAACTAACACACTGTTTTGTTTTTTGGCTTAAATACCAAAATATGTTGTACAGTGCTTTCAACATAGACCACAGTCTCACTGACTCAGCGATGGTGTCTGACCTGGGAGTTTGCTGTAGGCTGAGAACAACTTAGCAGAGGCTGAGAATGAATGCTTTTGTCTGCTATGCTGACGTCACAGCTGCACAACTATGTCATCAGATAAAATCTGCCACTCTACAGAGAGAAAAAAATGTATGCTTTATTAAATCTTTAACAGGAAGATGGGTGGTTTGACAGCAGAGTTTCTTAATCTCATGAGAGTTGAGAAAGAAGTTTGGAGACTAGGCTTATGTATTACTAACAGTATTTTTGGAAAATGGTGTTGATTTTGCAAAGTTTCTCTGAATCCAGGGCTACAGATCACAAAAGTTGCAGTCAGGAGTTTGGGTGAAAAGTTGCACCTTATAGTAAATAATTTCAACTAGGGCTGCAACTAACGATTATTTTAAAAATCGATGAATCGGACGATTATTTTTTCGATCAATCGATGAATCGGACAAAAAATATTTTTTATATTAACCTCTTTATTCCAAAATAAACATTTTAGACAGAATAAACGAGCACACAAGTACAGGTTGCTCATTAACTGTACTGGTGCAATATGAAAAATAAATGTTTGTGTTAAAACTACGCAAACTTACATGAGAAATGTAGCTGTACATCCACAAAATAAAGGGTACTTTGTTTCATAAAGCGCAAAAAAAGACATTTTTGTTTTTAAAAGCCCCTAAGGGGTTCAAACAATGCCCCCCCCCCCATTTTAACAAATTAGGTTTTTTTATACTAGAAGAGTTCTGCCTTTTAAGACAGGAAAGTATAGCAGTTAAAGTTGCTACTTGAGAAAATACTGAACCATAGAGATAAAAATAGCCCTGTGATTCAAATTATAAATTGTATTTAGAATAAAAATGAGAGAACTAGGGGTGCTAAAAAACACATCCTCCAAAGACAGATATTTACATGGGAATGTGGCATATAATTAATTGACATATTACTGATCTTGCTGGATTTTATTCTGCTTTACTTCCATAAATTGCAGGATCTTCTTTACTTTATCTTTGCCAGAAGATTTAAACTTTAAAAGCCTTGCCCTCATAATTTGCAAGTTAATTTATTTATAAAGTAAATGTAAACGCTGCTTAAGCTAATTCAAATGAAATTAAAAGTAAAATAAGTAGCCAACCTTATCACTGTCTGTAACCTACTAACACGGTAAGGAAAGCATCAGATGAGCTACCTGAGAAACTAACGTTACGTTTCCCCACTTTAAAACCAAACAAACATGGTGGTTCCGTGCCATGTTAATTTCTTTTGAAAAAAGGTGCATGTTATCACTTTTTTTCGCTTTACAAAGCGCAGGCTATTTTAATTATTGTGATCAATTTGCGCCGTCAATCCCGGTGCATGCGCGCTTCATTTGCAGTCTGGACGCTGAGGCTCTGACTGCAGCGCTGAGAGGGACTCCTGCGGGAAAACGCGGTTGGGGTGGGGGAGGCGCCCCACGGCAGAGTAGGAATGATACATGCTTTCACTAAGAGTCTCCAAAAGCCGCCAGTGACACCGAAAAAAGTCGCCAGATTTGTCGCTAGTCACCTTTTTGAAAAATAGTCGCTGGAGGGGTCTGAAAAGTCGCTGAGTAGGCAACACTGTACCTGCGGCGCTGACTCGCTCTGCCATATTTTTTTTTCTTCCTCTTTCAGTCAAGAGGCAGTGATGACGGCGCGGCGGATTACGCAATAATCGCGCGACACAACTAATCGATGATGAAATTCGTTGCCAACGCTTTTAAAAGTCGATTTTTATCGATTTTATCGATTCGTTGTTGCAGCCCTAATTTCAACCCGTCTTGAGTGGATGTTTTAGTGAGTTAAGCTGTTTCCAAGCATGCAAGATTGTCTTAAAGTCTAAAAGCAAACATTTGCTGGACTGAATGCTTTAGTTGACTGATTGCATTATTTGTTTTGAAAAATCTGTAACATATTATTAAACCATGTAGTTGTTTCTTTTTTGTGTTTTTGGTTTATTTTGGCGGGGATGTAGTGAATCAACCTGCATGTTTTTTTATATATCTTTTCCTTCCCGAATTTAGGTTGCTTTCTTTTGTATTTGGCGGTTCTGTAGGTTTGCATTGATTTAGTATGGAGGACAGAAAAAAAGTGTTTTGAATGAGCTATGCGCCTTTTTAGTATGCTTCAAAAATTGTGCTATCAAAGGTCTGTTATCTTTTGTACACCTTACCGTTACTTCATATTTGTCAGCATTACATTTACTTTTGCTAATTTCTCCCACTGTCACAAAGAATGTAGCTGTTTTACTTTATGAGTCTGGCGTGCCAGTCTTGATTTGCTAGTTGCATGAACTTTCCCTACCTTTGATTCACAAACCTGATTTAGTGACAAATAGTAGAATGATCTAACAAAAAGTAAAAAAATAAAGCATGTGTGGCTGAATTGCACCAATATGTAGAAATAATGGCAAGTTTTTCCTATATTTTGTACAGTTACGCTGCTGGATATACTGCCAAAACAATTTTTTGTCATTTGGAAAGGAATAACCTCCCTTTGCCTTTTTTGTTTGTGCGATGTGTGCAGCTTTCATTGCCATTTTTGAACAGTAGTGATGGCAGTGTTGGTCTGTATTTTAAGACTGGTTGTTGAAGAGTCTCTAGTGGAAGAGCGTTCTTCATAAAACTGTTACCCAAAGTTTATGTATTTATTTTTAAACTGTCACGCAAGTCTGGCCTTGTAAGCAGTGCTTTTCAATCTACTAGTCTCAATTCGATTTAAAGATACTTTATTGATCCCCAAAATAAATTTAAATGTTATTGTATCGTGTGGCAACCTTCAATCTTTTTCCTAAAAGTTGCTGTAGGTGTTGATAACTTAGGAAGGAGGGATCTTTTTTATTGGTTTGTCTTGAAATGGGTCTGAAGAATTCTTTGAGTGAAGGCACTTGGTTGGTGTTTTTCAGTCTTTTGAAGAGGATGCATTGCTCACTGTAGTCTATCGTTTTCTTTTATGAAGAATTCTTCTTTTGAAAATCGCCTCAGAGATTTTAGAGGAGTTCACAGAACCGCGAACATTTTTTTTTCAGCTATTGAAAAGTTTTTTAAAGTAATTTGCTCCGAAGAAATCACACTCCCCACAACAGCATTATAGAAGATGTGTAGCATTTTGCTGCAAACACTGAAGGATCTGAGCTTCCTTAGGAAGTGCAGTCTGCTCCTTCCCTTCTGGTTGATGACTTTACAGTTGCGTCTCTAGCTAAGTCTGTTCTCCAGGTGAACATCGAAGTATTTGTTCTTCTCCATCACCTCCACTTCTTTTCCTATGGTGTCAATAGGATTTAACTTGTTCCTGTTTTTCATCTGCGATCTAAAATCATCTCCCTTGTTTTGTTTATATTCATGATCATATGATTGTTTTCACACCATTTCACAAAGCTGTTCACCAGCTCCCTGTACTCAGCTTCTTGTCCATCTCTGATTAACCCAATAACTGCAGAGTCATCAGAGTATTTCTGCCAATAGGAAATCAGAAGGGTACAGAGTAAAAAGAAATGGTGAGAGTACTGTTCTCTGTGGTGTTTCTATGTTGCTGATTGCTTGATACTTGGCCCTTAAAGGAATAGTATACCCAAAACATGATTAGCCTTCATTTTCTACTCACCCCCATGCTGAACAACACCCTGGAGTACTTTTTTGATATCTCAAATGCATCTGGAGATCTGGGAGGCTTCTTGCTGTCTGCTGACATTCAAATAATGGAGGTGCCCAGCGCCCGAGGCAGAAAGGTCCATAAAAGTCCACAAAAAACGTGTCTATATTCCTCCATACTGCTCGTCCAATGTATTCCAAGTGTCCTGAGTGGGTAGCATCCAGAATTTACTCAAAACGAAGTCATTTAGAATGTTTTTAGAGCATAAACAGTAGTGTATAGGATTTCCTGAAAGCGCGCACATGCGCGATCACGACGCTACGGAAGCCGGCAGACCAAACCAGCGCATTCAGCTCGGCAAAGAACTCATGCTCTTCCTCAACACTGAAGTCCTCAGACATTTTTCTTTCGTTGTTTCTTTCTTTGCACAGGTAAACAGCACATTTCTTCTTCTACGCTTGCATTATTGGCAGAGCAGAGGCTGAATGCGCACTCTCATCTGGTTTGGTCTGCCGGCTTCCGTAGCAACGTGAACGCGCAGGTGCGCGCTTTCAGGAAATCCTATACACTACTGTTTATGCTCTAAAAACATTCTAAATGACTTCGTTTCGAGTAAATTCTGGATGCTAACCACTCAGGACACTTGGAATACATTGGACGAGCAGTATGGAGGAATATTGACACGTTTTTTGTCGACTTTTATGGACCTTTCTGTCTCGGGCACAATAGACCTCCATTATTTGAATGTCAGCAGACAGCAAGAAGCCTCCCAGATCTCCAGATGCATTTGAGATATCAAAAAAGTACTCCAGGGTGTTGTTCAGCATGGGGGTGGGTAGAAAATGAAGGCTAATCATGTTTTGGGTGTACTATTCCTTTAAGTCTCACAAACTGGTCTGCTTGTGAGGTAATCTTTGATTCTGGTGATTATTGCTGCCTCTAGCTGAATCTTCTGGAGTTTCAGACAGAGTATATCCGAATTAATCATGTAAAAAGCTTTCAAACGCAAGCAAGTACATCTTGCATTTTATATGTTATGTTTACAGTAAACAGTATTTATACCTCCTCTGTTTATATTCAACCATTCATTTTATTGTGAAAAAACAAAAGCGCCTGCTATTCTTCTTCTTGTTTGGGAAAACCACTGCTGGTGAGGTTTAGATCAAACAAACTTTTGCAGTTTGGTGACGAGCTGCTCTGTATAAATGGGAGGTTATTGAGCCATATGATAAGTGCTTTTGTACATGTGACAATATTGCATGTATGTCTTCAAATGTATCCACTCAGGGAGC